GACTGTCTTTTGGTTGAGATTATGATAAAATGGTATAATTCATGAAAATTAGGTTCCTATTTCTTAAATCAGGGGGGAATAATCTAATCTATAATTTGTCAGTCATAAAGATTAACATCATTTGGCGAAGGTATGAGATCGGGGAACTCTAGTTGATGATGCCACACTATCTATGAGTTTGTCAAGGTCGTGCATGCTTGAATAACTTATAAATCAGTCCTGCCCATCATGAAAATACGTTAGCGCAAATGTGTGATTGCAGATTTGATGATACATGCATTCAAGAGAGTTGCGCAATCACGCAGCAGCCCTGGCCCCTCACCCTGTGCAGTCTCTCGGCCAGTTCTCTCCGCCGAGCCCGACACCTGGCCGCGGCCTCCCGGTTCCTGTCCCGCCGCCGCTGCAGACGCCTCTCCTCCGCCGCCGTCAGCTGGCAACAAGATATTTCATTATTAGAATATTCAGCATGTACGTACAATATACAAAGCGGAATGAAGAAAATAGAGCTCCAAATATGTTCAGTGGATTCTTCCAAAATACTAATTCTGTCTATCAGTCTTCCATCACCATCGGGTGCTCGTTCATCGACACGACACCTTGTCCATCTCTCGACGGTGGGAGCCTGAAGTCCACTAATAGTCTTTGTCCAGTATTAAAGTCCACTGCATTCTTTGGACTCCAGAAGTTGTACATAGAATCAAACCCGTGTGTTAAGGACACATTTGCCCTTTGACTTAACCACTTTGTGACTCACAAAAAATCTTTGGGCAGGGCTGGGCAGAGTTTCGAACAATCATTGCCGGGGTTTCCACCACACCCCAGATCACAATGTGTGGGTGAAAGGGCGAGGCGGTGCAGGCGGCTTCTTGGACGCAGAGAGCGCCTGTCCAGTTCGTGGTAAGAAACTGATTTTGGAAGTTTCGCCTTTGAAAACGTACTTGAGATATCTGGCCTCTACCAGGCTTGGGGAGGCGGCTGGAAAGAGTAGAAATCGGCAAAATAGAGGAGTTTGTCCGTTGAAAGAACATTTCGCCTCAATGTTCTCTCAACGGACAAACTCCGTTGGCATGCTTATCTCTCTGCTATTTTGCCGATTTCTACTCTTTCCAGCCGCCTCCCCAAGCCTGGTAGAGGCTATGAGATAACGGTTACCTTGTGAACATCACCGGTTCAAATGGTCCTGAGGACGGTTCTGTGTGCTTTATCTTATATAGGTCGATTTAACTTTCCTTATCGATATCCTAGGCCTGTTGCATTTTTTCTATTTTGGGAAAAAGGTCAACAGAAAAAAATCAGATGAACCTATTTCCAATACTAATAAAAACAGTTCGCTTTACGTTTTCACGAGAAAAGATGGGAAAAGCTATTTTGACGTGAGTCCATGGATAGCCTGTTGTGCAGTTAGCAGTAGTTAAATTCAACAAAAGCACAAATCCTTTTCCTACTTTATTTAGTCACGCTTGTCCAATGTTTTATATCGATCTATCGTCATATATCATAAGTCGCCAACAACACTGGGGACAAAATGATTGATGATTCTATCATTCTTACCGGTCTGGACTCCCTTTCATCAGGCCGTGCATTCAGCAGGTCGAAGTTGGGGAGAACCAGCCCGCTGTCCTGCTGTCTGGCCCGGATCGTCGCCCGCAGTTCGTCCTTGACACTGGGAGACGCTCGGTCGCTGGAGTCCCCCGACCCGGGCGACCAGCTGCCGGGGCTTCCCTCAGTATATGGATCCTCTGGCAGTGCTTCTGCGTCCAACGCACAGGACATGCTTCGACGGTCCCGCCGGGATGTTGACATAACGTCACAGTACGCAGCTTACAACTCGGCTCACGTCAGGACTACAGCGTACGTCGGTTGAATGTAAGCAAGTCGCCAACTCAGTTACAAGAACTTTCCGGTGCCGAGAAAGTAGTACTGCCTTGGCCAGTGATGTGCTGTGGCACACGTACGTATAGCCTACGTGTGGATGATTGCGTTTTCACAAGAATCGCGTTGGAAAATCCCCTCCGATGACGTCGTCACAAGTCCATCACTAGTAAACAAGAAATTAAACAGACGTTAACTGAATACAGCACGGAAGGAATGGGTGGTCCAAATAATCATCAAGCAATGAAAGAGTGAATTACCCGACGAGGACGTTGACTGTTTCTGCTTCACCGTCCTTAGCGTTACCTGATGTCGAAGTAACGCGCGTCGGAATCATGTGAATGGTTGTCAACGCTGAGTCACAATATGTGATTGCACAATAAAGTCAAGCTATTACATGTCCTTGAGATTTGCATTGTACGCAACATGTCTGGACAAGTGCCAATCCTCTGTTTACTATAACAATTGTAATCAGTTTAAGTCAACACTGCCCTCACTGTTGTATTCTTCCACTGCCACATATATAACAACGAAAGGTTTTGTATGCATGTACTTGTTGTGATACAATTATAAAAACGATGAGTCAGACTTTTGTCTCAATATAGGTCATCTTCGGGCAAACCAAACTTGGGGGATACATTCACATTGTATACCATTTCTTATCGCTGGAAAACCGTCAAAAAGTCGCAAGCCATCAAAATGACTCACTGAGAACGTTAATAGTATGTATGATCAAGAAAGGAAATACCAGTAGTTAGTGGAAAAGTACCAAATATTTGCTTTTATAACCTCCAGTTGAACTTTCTGAACAAGCGCACACATGCACCTATCTCAACCTCGGTTCCTTTTTCTTCTTGTTGACTTCATGATCAGAATGTTTCAAGGTCAACAACATGCCCGGACGTGCCTACGACACCCCATGTTCTGTTTGTTTCTTTGCTTTTTGCTCGGTAAAAACCGCTTCGAGCAGGTTTGAAGTGCCTAGTTGCAGTTCATACAAGAACCGCAGGAGGACTCTATTGTGTAACAGTAGTACAGAGTAACACTTAGTTTGAAAGGTCGCACTTTATAAATCCTACAATGTAACCATGTACTTCCTCTTGACTTCCGCGTATTGTGTACCACACAGTGACTAGCGCACGTTGTTACCGAGAAGACAATGAGAAAGTCACGCTCAGGTTTCCTCTCGTATCCAGCTACCATAACGTCTTCTTAATTCGACATAAACAAAAGTCTTGCGCTTGCGTCAGACACGCCCACGCCACGCCTGGCTTATGTCTTTTGCACGTTTTGTACGAGAACGTCCAGTCCAAATTCGGTTAATTTTATCACGTGTTTATATTAAGTTCTCAATGTGGCGCGTGAACACTGGAATACATATGACTGAAAGTCTGAACCCTATTGACATTTCAAATGTGCGTCCTATGGGGCGAAAAGTTTTCATCACTTCTTCCTCTGTGTTTAAAGGCCAACCCGAACAAGTAGAGAATGATTAAATCTATTCAAACCCTTTTGACATATCCCGCCGGCACCCATCAAACCAAACGACTTCCTATATGACCCGCCTAGCTAAAGCTATAAAGAATTCTAGCCGGCGACACCCACCTCTAGGCCGTAATGGTAACCTTCTTCCGCAGAGACATGCCGCCGAAACCGCACCGTAGCGTCGCTCGTTCCGTTTGCGACGTTTCTTACCGCGTGAGTCTGTGGCCACATGTACGGCATGACTCAACGTCACGACGCCTCGGCGACTGGTACCACCCTGTACAGGTGTGGCTACCCGTGTACCTATGACTATGACTCATTTCAGAGAAAAGTTTCCTTCCGAACTTTGAAAATCTGCTGAGTCACTCTGTAAGTGTTTGAGCGTGCCATACACTTTGCTTGTTTTTGGACACGGGAGGCGCGTGGCACTCACCCACACACTTGTGCGCGCGCGTTTTGTGCACGGTTACAGCCGGAAGGCGTGGGGGTGTGTATATGCAGTCAGTGAAGCGTTGTCACGGAAGTAACCGTCAGTGGCGGAATGCAATCATAACTTTGCAGGCAGTTAAGAAAGCTTTCTTGTCACTTTCCCGGTACCAGCGACTCTTTTTTTTCTCGTGGTTTCTTGGAATGAAGACTTCGCCCTATAAAAAGTCAAACCCTTACGACTTACGCTACATCGATATTTTTCCGATCCATGGCAGCAATCCTGGACGTGGAATTTGAGGTCAAATATTAGGAATAGTCAGGTTCCCTCCCGGAAATACTATGTTTATTTAGCCTTTAGGCATTAGAGTAAACATTAAATTCATATATGCAATAACCCCAAATGTACATCAGCAGGGGAAAGCTCAAGGATATGGCATATCATTAGAGCGAGAGACTCATTAGAAGCCTCACCCACCCCACACTGTGTTGTTTAACTATACCATGGTATCTAAGCACTATTTCTAGTGTTCAGACAGTGCATGTTTATTAATATCCATATATCATCTAAAACAAGCGGACACATACCTTTTGTATCTTCTGACACAAAATCTCGCTCGCACCAGGTGTGGACGCGGGTAGCCAGTGTGAGAGATACCGTAGGCTCCCAGGTCGACAGTTGGAACAGGTGTTTCGGAAGGTCACAAGCCGTACACCGAGAGTGAAAATTTGGGACATTTGGGGTTTCACAGTCCTTTCAGACCTTTGATGGTAACTAAGGGGCAGAAGTGGTTATTTTCATAGGGGGGGGGGCAGAACAAGTCCAATCCTAAAAACATTTGCAGTAGTATTGTCCAACATATGCTAAATTCGTGTTTTAAAAAAGCTAACAAGATTAGCGGAAAAAATTCCTTTGCTACCCTGCCTACTTCCTCTATTAACCTGTAGTAGTGACACAGGTGTTACTTAACGCCGGTTCTACCTCCTCCCTTGATCTCAATGACTATGGACGCCTATTATCAACTTGGAGCACCCATGATGAAACTACCTCGTGCACACACAGGGAAGTGCTAGTAAATATATTTTGTCAACGATTATTTGGAAGAACAATCTGCAGTGTGATCGTGTGAGGTTTCCTTCCGGGAAACGGCCCTGGTTTCTTGGACAGGATGTATGTGTAGCGAGCGTTTGGTATCACATGGCACCCGCCGGTCACGTGAAGTGGGGGTTGTCTCACAAGTTCGGATACTTTCTCCTAACCATGATTATTTTGTTCATCACTCAATCACCATCATAGAGGTCGTTACATCATGTGAGTTTCAATCAGAAGGCCTACTGATCGAAACCTCCTAGGTTACATCGAGGACACTGATATAACGCCAGTGTGCTACAACTTAGGGATTGGAACTTTCTCCAACGTGTTAATTTGAGTTAAATCACGCTTGGTCTGAAGGAGACAAATATGAAAACAACAGTAAAATTCAGAGCTTGTACTATAATTTACTTGGTAACAATCGTACAAAGGTACAAAACATCGTCACATCAGTATATTTACAGAACATTGGATGTTGTAGATGTGATCATGGGTTTACCTCACGTGTCAACACGTTTCCTACAGTTGATGCTATTTACAAACTAACATTAACAGTTTACTGAGGTAACAAACCACAACCATTAACACGGCGTGCATAGTATATAGACACAAGTGATATGCCTAGGTACGTGAGCGAAGAGAGATCACCCCACCGCGCACCACATGGCAGAAACACTCTGTTTCCTCCTTGGTTTTCTGCACACACCATGTAATATAACTTGAAGTGCAAGTATGCTGTTTCCATTCATACCGATCACACGCCATAACGATAGTTTTAATAATATAAATGATATTCGCAGCTGCCACATATGTACACGATACTTGTGATGATACTGACTATGGTTGAAAAGTGGAAAGTAGTTTCAGGCATTTGAATGAAAAGTGCGTTTACTACAAGGAAATAGACCTTTGTGATAAAAGACATGGCTGCAGGTTCACTGCACAAAACATGCTTCCTGTCCGTATCGCCGAGAGCCTGACTTATGAGAGTGCGCCATATTTACGTGGCAGTACAATTCTTTTGCACAGTTGAAAGTTACGATTCCATTTGTTTATTTACACGCCTCTTGGGAAGAGTCAAAGGGAAAGAACACAGGTAATCAGGGGAAAGGTCAGAGGCTAGCACAGAAAGGCTTAACAAGAATAACTGCCTAGTGTCTCAGCTCAGCTCGACTCAGTGTCACTGTCACTGCTATACGCGCTGGACAGGTCCACAGGAACTATAGCAGGTAAAGGCGAGGATTCCTGTCCCGCTGTTTCCGCGGAGTCCCACGAGAGGTCTGAGGAGGAGGCGGTGGTGAAGAAGGAATCCCCCATCACAGCTGTAGGTTTGGAGGTTGTTGTGTCAGGTGCGCAGGCGGTCGCAGGTGCTTTCATGATGCAGGTGGGACGGTGGAACTGCAGCAGGTAAGCGATCTTCTCCTTCTCGTCTTGCAGTCGGGATATCTCCAATTTCAGACGCTCGTTCTGCGACTCCAGTCGTTCGGACTCCTGTAATAAAAACGTACAGATCGGCGTTTAGTTCAGTTACATCTCTATGGATATATCACCTGTTCTGAAAGTGACACGTTCCAAATCGCAACCACATGTTGCTTTCAAGAAATAAAGCTCTGTTTCAAGAAATTCAGAATATGTACTACTTTTGAATCACAATAATACGTAATTATTCTTACAATCTATAGCTGCCTTACCTCCTGTAACAGCTCGCCCCGCTCCCTCTTCTTGTTCCTGCACTTGGCGGCGGCGATCCTGTTTCTCTCCCGCCGTACCCTGCGCCGCTCTTCCTCCTCTGGGGAGATCTGGGGAGTCAGAAGAAAATCAGTTACTAGTACTAGTACTCTGTTATTCTGTGTTAATAGATATCAATATTGAACATGGTTTTTCAAAGTGACTTTGCCAACGTAGTGGCCAGAAAAACTTTGAGTAACCATATCAGTATTTCAACTGGAAACGTCTTATATGTAACTTCTATTTTAAGACACTTCAATCCTATTCCATTTCAAAATATTAATTTCTATATTGGCATTTCGAAAAAAAAATCATTTTGCTTCATCTTTTGTATCATACGTGGCGGCGCTATGCAGTGCAGAGAAAATCTAATAATAGATCGCGCCAATACGGTACGATTAGCATATCGGAGAACCCGGAGATTCTGAATTATAAATGAATATGGTATGTCCTATTCGTAATCAGTTTTCACATGTGGGGATGTAGCTCAGAGGTAGAGCGCTCGCTTCGCATGTGAGAGGCCCCGGGTTCAATCCCCGGCATCTCCAAAGTTATTTTTTAGTTCGAACACCGAACTTCCAAGTTCCAACATTTCTGAAGGATAATATTAGCCTGTGGCAAGCGAGATGTAAGACTCCACATAGCGACAATTTGGCTCGTTGTTGATTATTATTGATTACTGGTATCCCCCGTGATTTACGTGAAAAACTCCACATGCGCGTTTGGGTACGGTACCTGGACCCCACCCTCTGGAGTGCTTTTTATCCTCGTCATTCTGGTTGTTGTTTTTTCTCAATTGACTGAGTACATAACGTTGTATTATTTCTTTTAAAGAGACAGTCAAACGTTGGAACAACACTATTTGCTTCAAATCGATCAATGGGTATTAGCTGAAACTACGCATGTACAACCTGACATCAACCTAGAATGGTGCAGCGATCTTATGTACTCAATTTTGCCTGTGATTGAAAGACAGTCACGGGGTGGTGAACCCCTTGCTAAAGAAATAAAATTTGTAAGATGATAAAAAATCGTAATATTCAGACCCAAAACAAAAGATTAAAAATTGCCATGGAGATGCCGGGGATTGAACCCGGGGCCTCTCACATGCGAAGCGAGCGCTCTACCTCTGAGCTACATCCCCACCTGTCACGGCGCGGGCAAACGAATGGCATATACCACTACATGACCTAATATTTCAGCCGCGTTATCGCTGTTCCTCCAGCGCGACGATTGTTTTCTATTGACGTTTGGTTGAAGTTTGCACAGCACTTTCATTCCCATTGACAGCAGTATTTCTCGGTGTATTTGATCTTTTTTTTCTTATCATTCTTTCGGTTCGCCAATGACTACCGGTATTTAATCCGTCCCACACTAGGAAGTTGCGACTTCGCCGCCGGTACCGTTAACATCTAACGTTATATATAGAGATTTTTTTTCAAAATTGTTGTACAGCAGCAATTACTTTAACAGTGATGTTTAAACAATGCTACATTTTACTTTAAGTACTGCCATTGCCCTCATGCATCATACTTTCAAAACGCTTTTCACGGGGGATACGATTCCTGCTAATGCTTCCAAAGCAACCGCGGGGGCCGGTTCTAAAACGCAGGTTTTTTTCTTTTGCTTTTTCTTTTGCTGAGTACGTTCAGCGGTAACGTTAACGTTGGCATCAAAGAGCGGGCGTGTGCTCACCTTCCGCGGCTTCTTGGCCTTGCTGCTGTTCTTGATCTCCTCCACGTCCAGCTCGTCCAGCCCGCTGGCCAGCCGCTTGGTCTGGATGGTGTACTTCAGCTCTTCCTTGATGATGGGGGTGAGGCTGCCCTCTCCCAGGGACGACAGGTCCGAGTCGGCGGTGTCCTGGGACAGCGAGACGTCCGGGACGGTAGCGTCACTGTTGAACTGTCAGGGGACATGTAGGGTCAAATCGTTAACTTTCTGGGTTGAGCCGTTACGACTAGAAGTAAGAAAACCGTCGGAAAGCTGACTTTTAAAAAGAGGAGTAAAGTACTATAACGTTATATATAAACTTAGTATCCACAATGTCATTGGTATCCAAAGGGCCCCAAAGGAGTTTGAGATTGGGGATATAAGCAGCACGCTATCGCTTCAGTAAGTGCAATCGAAACGCGTTACAGAGAACGGTGCTACGCCTACTGTAATGTATGTTGTATCCAGAAAGTACGAGTTTATTTCTCACCTGTGCCATATTGGCCACTACTAGCGCCTGCGCCTGGCTGGCGTCCATGTTCTGCAGAGCGGTTAGCAGCAGCTCGGCCGCGCTCTTCCCTCCCTGACTGACCACCCCCTCTCCGTCCACCTCAATGAACTCTTCCTCACACATGGTCTCCATGGTGATTCCCGCCTTCTGCACGTCTGCAGCCTGTGTCGTCTCCAACCCTGCAGTCATGTCGTCTGTAGTAGCTGTAAGTGTCGTCTGTATCATCTGCCAATCAAAGAAAAGCAAGGGTAAGTATCTTTCTTCCACAAGATACTAGGATACTAGCCTGACTAAATCTGCGCTCCTAGCGGCCGGCCCGGTAATCTAGGAGCGCAGATTTAGTCAGGCTACTAGGATACATGATTCGCCCTACGGCCCAGTAGCCTACTGCTAGGCCTAGACATACAATCCACACAGGATTGTGCACCTGTTGACGGTTTTTACAGATTGACCAGTTAGCGGTGAAGATGAAGCATGCGGACATAACCAATCATAAACAGACTCCGAAAAGGATGAATATGGGCCAATCTTCAAGCACGCGCATCAGATGCAGATAAAAACAAGGAAAATCGTAGATTTTGTACCTCCGGGTATTGAAATGTGTGTTGCAGAATGTTGGGTGCATGTTGGGACTGTTCTTTAAATTAGTGAATTCGCGCGAATACCATTTTTTCGAAAAGTTTCGAAATGTTTGTAATTGGCTAAATGATCTGTGAAATCACTAATCCCCCTAGCCGACTGGAGCCCAAAAATAGAAAGGACAGGGGGCATCCCGTGGCGAATCTGGCTGCCCGACCCTCAGCGACCAGCGATAATGTAAACAAACACCCGCTCCGGGCGCCAGCCGCCAATCGTCCGGTGCGCGTGTTACCCTTCTAACATGTAAGTAAGGCCATGTTGATTTGATTATATGGATGACATCCTCTGGGAACCCCAAAACTGATGCGCGCGTGCGAATAGTAAAATCTTAGCTTTTTATTGTATACTTTTATATGTTGTTTGTTATATACATGTAGTTGATGGTGTTGAATTTTATGTGTTAGATTTAGCCTTCCTGGTTGTGTTAACACAGGTCAGTATTTTCATCTGCAGCCTATAACATGTACCCACGAACGGGCCGCCACGAACTTATGCCACAAGGAACTCGTAATGAAACTCAGAATGACAACCGGAGCCGTTAAATGGAATCAGACGTTAAAAATAACTGCTGAAGTACCTCCCCGCATGTGCAAGTCATCCTTATTGTCACTTCCTCCATTTTCCGCCGATTCTTCGTATAAATTGGGGAAGTAAAGGTCTGAATCCGCGGTATTTGTAAGTTAGAAGTCGTAATATACGCCGAAAACAACCAACACAAAGGTTGCGCAACAGTACGTTGACCCCTGACCCATTGGCTAACCAGGAAGTGCCGATTACGTGTCCTGTGAACGCGTACTAAAGTATCCCCCCAGCGGGTCTGTTTAATGGTAGACCGAACCAAACAAAAAATAGTAACCCAATGAAGGGCGCACAAAACGATAAATCGTACAAGACGATAAAAATACCGCTCTACCCGGCGAGATCACTGAGACCCCACCAGGTAAGCATACCGGAGTACCTACAGACACGTCTGTGTGTACTTCGCGAAGTTTAATGAGACGTTGATTGACGGCACATGTGGTTCACATCTGAACAGTCGACAATGCTGACACCCCTCTGTGTGAAAGGTCAGATCAGTGGTCGCGACCTCAATCGTCCTTATACATGCAAAGGTCAAAAGCTGAGGCCCACTTTCACACTGAAAGGGGTGTCCATCGGCGGTCTAAACGCATCATTTTGACGCACTAAAACACACATACTAAAAAACCAAAACAACGTGCACCATCTACAGCCCAACAGCAAAACGTATACCAAGTCCCAGACATATCCGTCCACCCAAACGCGAGAAACGGGTGCGAACGCAATTTTCGTCTTCCCTCACAAAACCTCCGCGCTCGGGATATACATCCCTACCCGGAGGTAATGATGATGTCGCAATAACCGCTTATGCTTGCGTCAGCAAAGGTCATCAGCTGACAGAGGTCTTACTATCCGTAAGGGTTGAAGTACCACCAAGATCAAATCCACCATTGAAAACAAAGAAAAGGCACAATCAATGAGAAAATTTACAACTCACTGCTACCGAGCGGCCCTGTCTTTATGCTATTACCTTGAGACGCTAATCAAAGAAGTCTGGTAACGAGATCCGAGAACATTGTTACCCAAACCTGACACGAGCACGGTGACACGAGAGAAAGAGAATGTGTATCGCGACTTCCGATTAACATTAATCGAAACCACTGTGAATGGAAACAGCAATGGAAGAATCAAGGGGACCT